AAAATGATGCCCCTCCGCCCCAAAAAAGTAAAGTAAAAATTCAGGAAAAAATTGATGACTTGAACAATCAAATGAATGTAAAAGGGAGGGACCAGCAGTTGGCGTAATGGCTATGTTACTGGACTCCCACATAGCCAACCGGGGTTCGAGTCCTGGACCTCGGGGCTCAAACTCATGCCAGACATGTGTGTATGTGTGCCCTAGATCCTGAGAGGAGAATGAAGGAGGAGGGTTGCGTGACCACTCCCCCTGGGGGAGTGTGATTTCTCACTTTTTGTCTCTCTGGCAGGTACACACGCCCTATAGCAAACCTCCCCAAAAGAACAAAACAAATGAAATGCAAAAGGAATGAAAAGACTAGAAAATCATCACTTTACAACCCCTGTAGAAATTACTGATTCAGCTAAGAATTATTTTTTGATGTTAAAATCATTCATTAAGGGGGCTGGCAGGTAGTGTGGTGGTTAAGGGTGCTGGACTCCCACATGGCCAACCACAGTTCAAATCCCAAACCTGGTAGCCTGCTTTCTCACTTTCTCTCTCTCTCTCTCACTCGCTGTCACTCTAAAATAAGCAAATAAATAAGTAAAGTTCAATAAAAATAATTATTAAAAAGAAGTTCTCATCTTAAATAAAATTTAAAATGCATTCATTAAGGCCATTAAGGACAAGGGATAGTGGTATGGCCATATACCGGGAGGATCCTTTCTTCTAACCACTTACCCTCCCCTCCTGCCATGGGAAATAAAAAAAAAAAAAAAAAAAAAAAAAAAAGCATATATTAGCTAACTAATGATATTAAAGCAAAACAACACAGATTACATTTTGGTCATAAAGGGAAACAATCACTAAGGGTGGCCCAGCCATATGGTGTATCTCTTGATGTGATACAATATGAAGTACCTAAGAATGATCACCTCTGATATATTTTGCCCAAAAAAAGAGTCACATTAAAAAAATACATATACGGGGCCAGCAGGTGGTGCGGTTGTTAAGGACGTTGGGCTCCCACATGGCCCACCTTGGTTCAAGTCTCAGACCTGGCGGCTCGCTCTCTCTCTTCTCCTCCTCCGTCCCTCCCTCCCTCTCCCTCTCTGGTCAACTTAAAATAAATAAATAAAATAAAGTAAAATAATTATTTTTTTTTTTTTGAGACACACGTGCCCGGCATGAGTTTAAGCCACCGGGTCCGGGACTCGAACCACGGTCGACTACATGGGAGTCCAGCGACAGCCATTATGCTAACTGCTGGTCCCAAAATAATTATTTAAAAAAATATATATATATCATTAGATACTCTGATGAAGTAAAATCATGAGAAAGTAACCACAGAAATCAAGGAGCAATGGGACCAGCAGTTAGTGTAATGGCTATGTCGCTGGACTCCCATGTAGTCAACCGTGGCTCGAGTCCCGGACAAGGTGGCTTACATTCACACGGGTGCATGTGTGCACGTGCCCAAGATCCCGAGAGGAGAATGGAGAAGGGTTTGCAGCATAGTCATCCCCCAGGGGGGTGATTTCTTGCTTTCTGTCTCTCTTTCTGGCCAGCAAACGTCCCCTATAGCAAAAACCTCTTAAAAAATAAAAAAAGAAATCAAGAAGCAAATCTCATGAAGATGAGAGTGATTAATTTTTAAAGATAACTATAACTTGAAATTTAACTTCATTCCAGTAAAAAAGGGAAATATTCCCTCAAATAAAATGCTTAATTATGGAAATAATAAAAGCACATTTAGACGTCTTTCTGGAAATTTCAACCACAAACAGTATGAATGACTGTACTATTTTTGAGCAATTATTTTTTGTCAGATAGTAATAATTATACTAAACATTTATCAAGTACTTATACTAAGCACTATTTTTAGAACTGCACAATCATCCTGTAAATCAGATAATATGATTATATTACTATATAAGAAACTGAAGCATAAGGTTTAAGTATCTGAGATCACTTAGGCACAAAGAGGCAAAAGAAGTTAACATAGGAAGTCTGGCTCCATGACCTATGACCTCCTTTAAAAAGAAACTTTAGAATATATACTATACACTTAGAAATCAAACATAAAAAGGTATTTGCCTTTGTCATATCTATTCCAGTATCCTCATCCCCAACAGCTAGCCACTTTTATTAATTTCTCGTATTTTTTTTTTGAGAGGTTTTTCACTATAGGGCACGTGCGCTCACCAGACAGAGACAGACAGAAAGCGAGAAATCACCCCCCAGAGGGGATGGCCATGCCGCTATCCCTTCTCCTCCATTCTCCTCTCAATCCCTTCTCCTCCAAGGATCTTGGGCACGAACGCACACGCGTCCAGCGTGGGTTTTAAGCCACCGGGTCCAGGACGCGAACCGTTGTCGACTACCTGGGAGTCCAGCAACATAGCCATTATGCTGACTGCTGGTTCCCAATCTTTTGACTTTTTTAAGAAAACTACATATTCTTAATATTCCCCTCCCCTTTTTTAAAAAAGGTGTTTGCCATAGGGTTTGTGCCTCACAGGAAAGAAAAAGAGAGACAAAGAGAGGGAAAGTGAAAAATCACCTTCAGGGGGATGGCCACACTACAATCTCTTCTCCTCTATTCTCCTGGGATTTGGGGCGCGCATGCACATGTACCTACATGATTTTTCAAGTTTTCAAGTCTGGAACTCAAACAGGAGTCAGCCATGTGGGAGTCCAGCACCTTAAACACCACACCACTTGCTGGTTGGTATTACCCTCTTCCTTACTCCAGATCCCACACCTTCCTTTTTTTATTCACTTAACAAATTAACTCAATCTCCATATGTAAAAGGCTTCTTCCTCATTCTTTTGTGCAGCCATTGCAGGGAAATACCACAATTATTGAATCAATCTCTTACTGATGGGCACAGATTGTTTCTAATCTTTTACTTTGCCAAACACTGTTGCAAAGAGCAACCTTGTACCTATATGTGTCGTGCAAATACAGGTACATTCAGGGCCAGCAGAGGGCATGGTGAAGGTCAGGAGTCAGTCAACCATGGTCTCCCACATAGTGGTGGTCCAAGTCTAGGACCTGACAGGCTTGCTCGCTCGCTCTCCCGCTCTCTCTCTCTCTCTCTCACACTCTCGCGCACGCGCTCTCCCTCCCTCTTTTCTCTCTCTCTCTCTCTCGCTATTGTGCCCTATAGCAAATTTTTTAAAATAATAAATAAAATTAAATAAATAATTCTTAAAAAAAATATATAAATGTGTTAGCAGTTAATTTCCAAATGTACCAATAAAGCAGCTAGGTCAAGAAGAAAATAGGTTTGTCATTATTAGAGATACTGAAACCAATTTATTGCCAAATTGCACTTCACAAGTTTTACTCATGCTCATACCAACACCATTTTTCATTTCTGAGGCTTTATATTTTAGGATGTGTTACATTTAGGTCCTCACCTCCACACACCTTGATCTTTACTGGCTATTGTTGCTCATCTATTTTTCCATATGAAGTACTATAGAATCGGCTCACCCAGTTCCAAAAGAAAAATACCCGTCAATACGTTACTTAGGATAACATTAAATTAATAAATTTACTTAAGTTCATACAAGTCTTTATGTCAGATGGCATATCTATTTGTTCATATCTTCTGTTACAACCCTTAGTGGTATTTTAAAGTTCTTATCTAACGTTTTTCAAATTTCTAAAGTTTACTCGCCAATATTTTATTTTTTTATTAATAGTGAAAATACTGTCGAGTTTTCTTTTTTTTCAATTATGTCTTCTAACTGGCTGTCGTCTGCAAATTTGGGGGCTACTGATTTGTAAACATTAATTTGGTACCCAATTATTTTAACTCTTTTAGTATTTAAAATTCTCTTAAGAATTTTATTGCCAAATTGCACTCCGTCTGTAAAACGAGTGCGGGTTATTTCTTTTACAAAGCATCATAGCAGACAGAAATCGGCTTTCTCCATTACTTCACACAATCCATACAACCTGAAAACACCTCGATTAATTAAGGAATTGGGATACCTAGATCTACCTACAGGATAAACATTCCAACAACTAAGTTTCTTTCTAAAAATAAAAATAATTGTGCCAACCTAGAACTCCCGACTTTAATCTTGGACTCTCCATATTACATGAGATTTCTTCTCAACGCTATTTAGCAGAGGACTCCGCCTGACAGCACTATTAAATGTACCTCAAAGCCAGGGGAATTGACACAGAATTGAGGCATTCTGTAACGAAGAGTTCGTCTGAAATACTCTTGATTTTAAAAGCATAATAACAGTCACAATAACTTGCATTCTACCCCAATTAAAAACAAATGCGTTTTTAAATAAGATCTGTTTTAAAACCATTCGTCATTTAGCTTCCCTCCCCTCTTCAAATCTTCAAGTAAAACGGATGCCCCAGGAAGATGGCACCGTTCTAACGATCAGCACTTTCGACAAGGGAGGTGCGGCTCAAACGTTTTACCTCCGAGCCGGAATCCTCCATCTCCTTCTTAAGGGCGACCACACAGTCCTGCGCTCAATGTTCCATTCACTCAACAATCCCAAACATCGGGTCCAATTTTGCGGTCAAACTCAGGGTCACACATGCTCAGACTCTCCTCAGCGACCCCCACCTCCGCCCCACACGTAGGCCAGAAGCTCTCAAACCCACTCCCCAAGTCCGCACCGCGCCCCTGGAGACAGGGAATCCTCCCCTTCAACCTCCCTGGCCCGACCGACCTGAGACGCCCAGATCCCACCTCCTACTTTCGCGCCACGTGGACCCAGGGGCCGTGCTGACCCGCGGACAAAGACCAAAATGTCCACTCCCTGGGCTGCGCCTGCGCACTGCGAGGGCGAGCGAGTACTCCCAGAAGTCTCCGCGACGCGGCCCAGCCCGGCCACCGCGGCCAGGCCCGGCTGGTAGGGGATTACCTCTGTTACCAGTAACGCCGCTTTTCCGGCCTCGGACTACATTTCCCATGAGGCTTTGCTAGTCGACTCTCGGTGTTTCTCGATCTCCCCCTCGCGAACGTGACTTGCCTCCTCCAGTGATTATGAGGTTCTTCCTTGGAGTTAGATGAGTTCAGGCCGCCGAGAAGTTTGAAGTGGAAACTCCTTTGAAGCCTGCGGGGCGCACGGTCAACGCGGGCCAAGCCCTCACTCAGCCGCGAGACGACGCCATCTTCGCCATGGCTGGTCTGGCGCAGGACCACGTTTCCCAGAGTCCACAGCGGCACGGCGTTACGTCTCTCTTGACGTTGCGGCGAGATCCTTAGCTCCGCAAGGACCCGGACGCGACCAGGGGAGGCAGAAGGTGAGGGGTCTGGGAGTCCGGGGCGGGGACGGGGCGTGTCCGGAGTCCTGGGTCTCTGCGCGCAGGCGGGAGGCGGCTGAGGATGCGCGATGAAGAATGTGCCTTTGATGGTGGTTATGTGACCGGACATGGATGCCTGAGAGTGCGGGTGTAGACCCTGTATGGCTGGCGGTTTTGTATAATTAAGTGTAACACTGCGTGTCGGGGTATGGGATCCTTGTGACTGCAGGGGTGACATTGCGTTGTATATATGGGTCTGTACACGCCTTGTTCCTTGGGGTGTGAATATAGTTGGGACAGTGTGACCGATGTTTGTCCTGTGGGTCACATGTCCCCAAGGTGGGTGTGTGGTTTTAGTTGTATGATTGTTTGGTTGTGTATGGTACTTTGTGAAATTGCAGTTGCCTGTAGCTATGTGATGACACTGTGTGTATCTGGTTGTGTCCCTTGGTGTGTATGTGTGAAAAATAGTGACCGAGACATGATGTGTTGCTATGTCTGTGGTTGTGGGCATTTTTTGCTTGAGTGTGATTGTGTATCTCCAGAGTGAATATTCAATTTTGACTGAGTGACATAGAGTGTCAATCAATGTCTGTGTTGTCCAGTTGGTGTGTGATTGTGAATGTGTGGGACATATGTGGATATTGGTGTGGAGATCCTATGACTATGTGGAAGTGACTTTGTGTGTCACAGTGGTGAATAGGTTAATGACTGCATGTCTTCTTAGTGGATGGTTTGTGGCTGTTTGTGTCCTTGTGTGTTTCAAAAGTGGATGTGCAGGCCCAGCTATGGTAGCACATGTGGGTTTCATGTTGCTTGACTCCTATATTGGGCAGATCCAGGCCACATGGGAAGCCTGTTGCCATTCCCTGCCCACCCTAAAAAGCTTGGGCTACAATGTTGCATGCCAGTTGTCTCAAATACACTGGAGCTCTAGACAGAATGAGCACAATAGAGGAACAACTTATCTTGTTCTTTAAATTAAAAACAAAAAAAAAAGGAATGAATGTGTAGCTACATTTGTATGACACTGTGACCATTTGTGCAGCATCTAGTGTGTCATTGTGAGGTGTCTGTGACTCCCACACTCTGACTCTTGGCAAGATCTCTAATCCCGCCATGGTAGTGACCTCAGCCTTTCTGGGTGATACTGAGATTGGGCAGCATGCCCATTCTCTGACCTCCCACCCCTGTGTGGTAGGGTAGGAGGATGACTCTTCAAAAATATTCTTGTTGCTCATGATTCCTTTCTTCTTTTTTTTTCCAAGGGATTTTTGCTACAGGGTGCTTGCGCTTGCCAGAGACAGAAAGCAAGACATTATCCTCCTGGGGGAATCACCATGCTACATACCCTCTCCTCCATCCTCCTCTGAGGATTTTGGGCACTCACACACACATGCCCAGCATGAGTTTCAAGTCACCAGATCTGGGATTCAAACCATAGTCGGCCATGTGGGAGTCCGGCACCCTAACCACTATGCTACCTGCTGGCCCCCCAGGATTCCTTTCTTCTAATCTCCAAGAAAGGTGCTCAGAGAAGGAAAAAACAGTCATTGAACATCCAAAGGCCAAGTTCAAAGTACATCAGGTTTTCTTCTTTCCCAAGCCCTTCTAGTTTTTCAGGGTGTGCTTTGCTTTTCTTCAGAAAGTTCTTGTAATATACTAGGTGCCCAAGAGATGGCCAGAGAGGTACATGCCCTTCCTGCACCCTGTGTACCTAATGTTCATTTTAAAAGACACTTTTCATTTTGAGTTTGTTTTAGACTTTTAAATGTGAATCCCACATGGCTGACTGCACAATTCAAGTCCCAGACCTGGCAGCCTGAAAAATGCTGAGCACATATGTATGCATGTTCAAACTCCTGAGAGGAGATGGGATTGCAGCATGGCTATCCTACAAGCTGCTTTCTCATTGTCCCTCTCTCTATCTCCAGTGAATGTACATACCCAGTAACAAATTAAAAAGAAAGAAAGAAAAAAAAAAAAACTGTGCTTCTAATTGAATAGGTCAAAAAGCCTTACAGTCATTTGGGCTTCTTTTTTTTTTTTTTTTTCCTCCCTTATCCCTAAAATCAATAAATCCTGTCAGCTCTAGTATCTGAGTAAATGTAGAATCTGATCAGTTCTTATCACTTCCCCCAAGGTCACTCTAATGCAAGCCATCCTCATCACCCTGTGCTTCTTGACCCAGAATGTTAAACATTGTTCAGGAATGTTCATGATTCCCATTGTATTGATTTTTGGCTGATGTTTATACTATGAAAAAATATGTTTACATTCATGACATTTAATACAACATTTTCAAAAAATGACGTATAGGAAAAATTTCAGTTATAGCCTAAATATACTTATGTAAATATTTTGACAGATACATAGATTCAAGTGTCAACAAAAGGAATTTGCAGCTGTTAATCACTCTTTGAGGGCATGTTATTATATACAAAACAACCAGTTGTTAATAGCCATAATAATAATAGTTGGTGATTAGGAAGTGATGTTTTGAGGCCATTCCTGTGGCCCAGTAGTTAAGGGAGGTGAATCCACGTGACGAACCATGGTTTAAGTCCCAGTCCAAGCACCTTGAAAAACACACTATGCATATGTGCGCATGTGTCCTAAGTTCCAACAGGGTGGAGAAATAGAGAAGAAATGTGGCATGACCTTGCTCCATTGGAAGTGCTTTATCCCGCTCCCTCTCTCTCTGTCTCTCTCTCTGGCAAGCTTACATGCCCTCTAGCAATTAGAAGAAAGAAAGAAGAAGTGATCAGCAGGTGGCATGGTGGTTAAAGGTGCTGGATCCCCACATGGCTGACTGTGGTTCAAGTCCCAGACCTGCGGCTTGCTTTCCTCTCTCTTTCTTTCTCTACCTCTCTGGTCAAATGGAAACAAATAAATTAATTTAATTTAATTTAAAAATAGTAATTCTTTTTTTTGGAGAGGTTTTTGTTACAGGGCGTGTGCGCTCGCCAGAAAGAGAGAGACAGATACAGTAAGTGAGAAATCCCGCCCCCCGGGGGTGGTGGTGGATGACCACACCGCAATCCCTTCTCCATTCTCTCAAGATCTTGGGCATGCACGCACAAATGCCTGGCATGAGTTTAAGCCACCAGGTCCGGGGCCTCAAACCATGGTCGACTATATGGGAGTCCAACGACATAGCCATTATGCGAACTGCTGGTCCCAAAAAAATAGTAATTCTTTTTATTTTTTTTTCCTAGACGTTTTTGCTATAGGGCGCGTGCGCTCGCCAAACAGACAGAGAGAGACAGAGAGACAGAAAGCAAGAAATCACCCCCCAGGGGAGATGATCACGCCGCAATCCCTTCTCCTCCATTCTCCTCTTGGGATCTTGGGCACTCACGCACACGCGCCTGGCGTGATTTCTAAACCACCGGGTCCAGGACGCGAACCGTTGTCGACTACGTGGGCATCCAGCAACATAGCCTTACGCAAACTGCTGGTTCCCAAAAAAATAGTAATTCTTAATAAAAAGAACAGTGATGGTTTAAAAAATTTCATATGATAGTTTACTAGCATTTCGTCATGCTTGCTATTTTTACTCTTTTTTAAAAAAATCATTATTTTTTTTTAGGAAGAGATATTTGCTGTAGAGTGAGTATGCTTGCCAGAGAGAAAGAGACAGAAAGCAAGAACTCACCCCACAGGAGGGGTGGCAACGTCACAATCCTTCTCCATTCTTCTTTCAGGGTTTTGGGCACACACACACACATGCACCTGATGTGTTTCAAGCTGCAGGGCCCAGACTCCAGCCACAATCCACTACATGAGAATCCAGCAATGTAACCATTTCGCCATCTGCTGGTTCCTATAATTATTGTTTAAAGTTTTTGCTATAGGACAGGTGTGCTCACCAGAGACAGAAAATGAGAAGCAAGCCACCAGGTCCAGGACTTGAACCACAGTCAACCATGTGGAATTCCAGCACCTTAACCACCACCTCACCAGCTAGTTCCTTGTAATGAAGTTTTAAGAACCCATTTGAAGGCTTCATGTTGAAATGTAATGTACTATATTTTTCATATTTTAAATATTGGGAGAAATGACTCTTGATTAGAGGTCTTATTCAGAATGATTTTTTAAAATTATTATTATTATCTTAGAGTTCACTTCTTTTTTAAGAATTATTTATTTAATAATAACAATAAAGTTGGGGCCAGCAGGTGATGTTGTGGTTAAGGGTGCTGGACTCCCACATGGCTGACTGTGGTTCGAGTCTCAGACCCTGGTGGCTTCCTTTCTCACTTTCCCTCTCTCTCTTTCTATCCCTCTTTGCTTGAATTAAAATAAATAAATTAATAAATAAAGTTAAATAAGACAATTCTTTAAAATAATAATAGTAAAGTTAAAATAATTATCTTGGAGCCAGCAGGTGGCGAGGCGGTTAAGGGTGTTGGACTTCTACATGACCCACTGTGGTTCAAGTCCCACACCTGGAGGCTTGCTTTCTCACTTTCTCTCTCTCTTTGTCTGGAAATAATAAAATAATAATAATAAAGTTAAATAAATTTAGAATTAATTTTTAAAAATAATTATTTATTTATTTCATTTAATTTGTTATTATTTTTTAATCTGACCAGAGAGACAGAAAGAGAGAAAGGGAAAACAAGAAAGCAAGCTGCCAGGTCCAGGAGTCGAAACTGGTCAACCATGTGGGAATCCAGCGCCTCTATCCACCACATCACCTGCTGGTGTTAATGTACCTATCTAGCTCCCATAATCTGGCCAACTTCTCTTAGGCCTTCTGCCTGGACCCAGTGGGATGTGGAACCCATGGCCTCTGAAAATGTCTGAATTGAGAAATATGAATACATTAGAGATGCAGCTTTAAGCTTTACTTGGTGGTGTATACATGACTAAACTTTGCTCAGAAGGACTTGTACAAATTTATTTATTTATCTTAGTTTTGCTGTAGGACGCATGCACTCACTGGAAAGAGAGCGAGCGTGGAAAGAGACAGGGAAAGTGAGAAATCACCCCCC